GGGTGTGTGCTCAAGGTGACGAGCAGTGAGGCTCAATGCACTGACATCGGTTTGACTTTTTTTCTCTCTCTCTTTTGCTGGCACTGCCAGCCATTTTGATCCTGCACCCTGAAACCCCAAAGCTGCGGAGAATATAGTTTATTATTTTCCCAGCCTTCCGTTTTGCCTGGAGCCCTCTGTGGTTGTTTTAACCGAAGGCTTATCCAAATTCTCCCAGGCGGGCCTTGTCCCGTGTACATCTGGAGAATATGGATGAGCCTCGCCAACAAGTTGAAGAGGACACGTGACAGCGCCTGCCTGGGAGTGGGCGCACTATTTTTGTTTTTTTGTTCAGGGCTGGGCCCAGTGCCACCCCACGGCACGGCGCACCTTTTTTTTTCTTCCCCTGGCCCTTTGGATGGACACACCCTGTCCCGAACCCCTCCGAAAGTTTTAGAGAGGCGCAATCGGATTCTCAACTTGGCGTACATGGCCATGTTATGAAGGGTGCTTTAAGTGTCGTTTTTTTTATCGGATTGGAATGCCAACCTCCCCCCTAGGTTCTTCCGAAGCGCCCTCGCTCTGAAAAGCCCATAAGATGAAATCATGAAACTATTTTTTGATCCTGTCAGTGTGACAGATGGGATGGGATGGTCCGAACATTCAGCAACAGTGGGTTGTGAGTACTTGCGACCAGTATGATGACGGCATTGTCCAAGTCCGGTATGCTCTCTGCGATCTATCTGTAGCCAAAAACTGGATAGCACGGCAGTCTGCCGACTGAGTTGGGACTGACATGTCAGCACGCGGCAATCGTCCGGCGCATCCTCCCTTGACATATTTGACGTGCCGTATTCCCGTGACGGCTCAGAGTATACGGCATAGCTGCCAGACTGACTGCCACCCACGGGGCTGGGCTGTTTGCGAAGGTGGAATGCACAAAAGCCTTGCTAAAGGGTTAAAAGAATTTTGAAAAGATTCAAAGGTTTTCCATCGGGTTAAAAGGTTAAAAAATGGATGATACGCATAAATCGAGAAATTAGGTGGTCCGGAAAAAAAAAAAAAAAAAAAAAGGGGGTTACAGAAACCAAGTACATCGGAGTGGTTTCCCTCCGCCACCCCAGCACCGATGTGGAAGTCGACGACTCATTCAGCATTAAATGATTTTAAATTGCACCCCTCGCTAAATGTGTGTTGTTACTGGGTTGTTTGTTGGGGGGGGGGCTGGTTAGGTACAAGGCTTAATAAGAGGGAGGGTTGGAAAAATGTGTGTTTGCACATTTCTTTTGCCTGTGGACACAGCGGTTGCGGTGAGCGCAAGTTGATTTCCCGGTGAAAAGTAAGAATGGGAACATGCAGCTGTTTCTGCAGATGCAATGGGATCACATCACATGTTTCTGGACGAGGAAGATTTGTGTATCTGTATTATGTGTGCTGCTTGCTCATTTGTCCCCTGTCTGCGCAGTGCCGATGGGATTTGCTGTTGTCGAAGGGCCGGAGGGTGGTGGTCGTCGGCGATTTGAACATATCTCCCTTTCGCATCGACACATGCTCATATGGCCCGGACTTTGATCTGAACCTGTGAGTGCATGTCTCTCCCTCTCTCCCCCCCCCCCTCTCTCTCTCTCTCTCTCTCTCTCTCTCTCTCTCTCTCTCTCTCTCTCTCTCTCTCTCTCTCTCTCTCTCTGTCTCTGTGAGAGCATACTCGCACCGGTACTTCCCTGAATGTATCTGACCTCGACAACGGCTGGTGCTGGATGTACCAACGGCTGGTGATTATATTTGTATCTAGACTGAAAGTTGCCCCCCCAAAAATGTGCATCTATAATGACCCAGCGTTCTACTCGGGTAAAGAGGGCTGTGTCAGTAAGCCCTGATTCTTACCTCCCTCCCTCCTTGCACGGCGATCATATATAAAAATAAAAGACTCCTTTCCTGCCAAATGGCTAATAGCAAGAAAGGGGTTGATTACTCCGTCCTTCCCTCCTTTTCGTCCTTCTGATGTTGCTGTTTTCTTTACCGTTCCCATTGATCTCAGATGTCGACAATGGTTGCATTCAAATTTGAAGAGTGGCCATGGTGACAGTGACAAGAAGTTTGTTGATGTCTTCCGTCAGATGCATCCATTCAGGTCAGTTGCAATTTCCTACCGAAACTCACAATTGAGTTTTCTTGGTGATTTCCGCTGCTTGTTCCTCTTCTTTTACTTCGGGTAAAAA